TTTTTATGGTTTTGATTTTTTTAAAAATACACGAAGTTCTAAAAAAAATAAAAAAAAATAAATTGTTGTACATCTTTGAAAGATCTACAACCCTATATTTTTTATTTGTTTTTTTGTTTTTGTTTTAGCCCTGTGTGAAACCCAAAAACAAAACACTCATTTCATTTTAGTTTTTGTTTTTTTCATTGTGTGTTTATGTTTTTGATTTTTTTTAAATATATTTAAACATCAAAAAATAAAAATAAAAATATAGGGTTGTATTACTCAAAAAAACCTACAACCCCACTTTTTATTTTATTTTTTTGGAAAATTTTTAGCCCAAGAAAAAAATCATCGCGGGCCCGTTAATTTGCATCCAACGCGGGTTTGAACGGGAGTTTAACGCGAATTCAACGCGCGTTGAATTTGCGTTGAATTTTTCAACGCGGAACCCGCGTTGAATTCAAAATCGGACACACAGGAAAGGACTGCACAAGGACAACTTGAAGGCACTATGACGGTTTTATTATGCTTCATGTTGTTTGCTATAGAGTTAGAGATTTTTCAATTTTGGATCTACTCATCTGGGTGGAAAAGGGGGTGTTATGGTGACAGTTTACGCCACACACACTCACAGTTTGTTGCAATAAGGATACCTACGGGTACAAAGAACCGGGATGAAAACGCAATAAGGTGATATTTGTACCTGGCAAAGTTTGCGTGACATTGAATTTAGCTACATCATACTTGCAACCGCACAGTGCGCCGCACCGTCCGGTGCCCAGTATGGGGTCCGGTCCTGGACCTCCCCAACCTCCGTACAGGCCCGTACCTGTACTGTACAGGACCGCATGGGGCCCCGCGCTGTTGGGTGCAACCATCTCCCGTCCTGAATCTTTTTTTTTTTTTTTTTTTTTTTTTTCCCATGAGCACTGCAAGGTGGATGCAGCAATCACCTTTCCTCTATCCCCACCTACATTCGCCACACCTGTTGATGAAGCGACCAGACTAGACACACTAGGAAGACTGCTGCCACCATCAGTCGCCCTTGCCACATGGATCAGCACCTGCCTCAACCTCTCCTTTACGGACTCCGTCTTCATGGCCATGCCGCTTGATCAAAGCGGAACTATACATGTGGCTCGTAATTGTGACCTGCGCACAAAACTGCAGAAGAGAAGCCACAAACTCAGCCGTGTCCTGTGTCCACTCCGAAAAACACATCCCCCACCCCCTTCCCCTTCTAGCCCTCTCCACCCCTGAAACCCCATGAAATCAGCCTTATTCCATCCCCTCCTAGCACCACTGCTTTTACAAAACATGAATGGGGGGAAAAAAGCGATGAATTGCCTTTCACAAACGGAAACAATTGCTTTTCCAAATGTCCATGGAAAAAAAAAGTGACAACGAGAGCGTGACGAGGAGGAAATACAATCGGAGTTCGATTTTCAGAGTTTCATTTAAAAAAAAAAAAAAACAAATTGATGAGGGTGTGACAAGGAGGAGATGAGATGAAGAAGGAGAGATGGAGGAGGATGAGAAGGAGGTGAGGAGAGGAGAGATGGAGGAGGAGGAGGAGGAGGAGGATGACGTGATAAGGAGGACGAGATACCATCACAGTTCGAACTTAGAAGTTTCCATTAAAAACAAAGAAAAAAGTGATGAAGCCATGATAAGGAGGATGAGAAGTGGAGGAGGAGAGATGGAGGAGGAAAGATGGAGGAAGAGGGATGGAGGAGGAGGCCGAGGAGATATGGAGGAGGAGGACGGCGACAACCGCGATGAGATACCATCGTAGTTCAAACTTTGAAGTGTCCATAAAAAAAAACGAAGTGACGAGGCCGTGACAAGGAGGATGAGAGGTGGAGGAGGGGAGATGGAGAGATGCAGGAGGAAAGATGGACTCGGAGGGATGGAGGAGGAGGACGAGGAGACATGGAGGAGGAGGAGGACGAAGACAACGAGGGCATACCATCACAGTTCGAACTTCAAAGTTTCCATTTAAAAAAAAAAAGAAAGAAAAAGTGACGAGACGGTGACAAGGAGGATGAGACGTGGAGGGCGAGAGATGGAGAGATGGAGGAGGAGGACGAGGAGACATGGAGGAGGAGGAGGACGAAGACAACGAGGGCATACCATCACAGTTCGAACTTCAAAGTTTCCATTTAAAAAAAAAAAGAAAGAAAAAGTGACGAGACGGTGACAAGGAGGATGAGACGTGGAGGGCGAGAGATGGAGAGATGGAGGAGGAGGACGAGGAGACAGAGGAGGAGGAGGAGGACAACGAGATACCATTACAGTTTCAAAGTTTCCATTAAAGGAAGAAAAAAGAAAAAAGTGACGAGGCCATGACACGGAGGATGAGAGGTGGAAGAGTAGGGATGGAGAGATGGAGGAGAAGAGATCGAGGGATGGGGGAGGAAAGATGGACAAGGAGGGATGGAGGAGGAGGACGAGGAGCGATGGAGGAGGAAAGATGGACGAGGAAGGGTAGAGGAGGTGATACTGACAGCGATCGAAGTCTACACAAGAAATGGTGACGAGGCCTTGACAAGGAGGAGGAGGACGAGGAGGACAGGAGGATGTGGAGGAGGAGGACAGATGCACGAGGAGGGGAGGCTGATGGGAGGTGAAGGAGGAAGTGAAGAGGAGGAGGAGAGATGGGGGAGGGGACGAGGAGGAGGCGGAGGTGACGAGGAGATAGTCCGAGATACTATCAAAGCTCCGAGTACAAGGTCCGATGCTATGAAAAGAAAAGAAAAGGACAATGCCATGACGAGGAGTAGAGATGGAGGAGGAGGAGGAGAGGAGGAGGAAGGGGAAGATGTGCAGGAGGAGGAGGGGGAGGAGGTGAGTTTGAGGGAGGGCAGGAGGGCTGGTGAAGACTCACCTTGATCGAGGGAGGATGGTGGAAGTCGGTGCTGGTGGTCCCTCCGGCACTCGACAATGGTGGCTGAAGCAAGACAATGGCTCTGCTTCCTCGTAGACGGCGGTCCTGCAGTGACGAAGAAACGGCCGAGGAGGACAAAGAACCCCCCCCCCCCTCCCCCCCAAGAACGAGTCCAAGGCCCAAGAAAAATGCAAATTCGTTTCGGGCCGCGATTGAGCGCTGCTGGCTAAATTTGTTTCAACGACGAACCGACACCTGCGCCTTTTGTTTTTTTTTGGCTTGGGCTTGGGCTCTTGTGCGGCGCGAGGTCGGGGTGCGCTTGCGCGCCAACGGTCCTCGAATCAGCGCAAGACGTGCGCTTGTATGTATGAGCTACATGCAATAAAATAGTGATGTTGATGGGTACAGTAATTTAAGAATTCAGTAGGTCTGTAACTTTCATTTAGACAACAGGGGAAGCATACAAGTTGGACAGGATAGGGGGCCCATCATTTCAGTTTGAATTACCGGCGTCAACAGGACATCAATAGGGAACTTGCAGTATGTACAGGGAGCGGATGGGCAGGGTACGGGATGGGAAAGGCCAGGAAGATAACAGCTTACTGTGGATTGCCATCAACCTAAGGCAAAGAAGCTTCTGACGTCTGGGTACCATTGGAAGTCTCCCTGTTACGAGCCTTTGACTCCGATCGTGCCTTTCCATGGTTTGCTTGTGTCTGAGTGACAGTTTCTTTGTTTTGTTCAGTCTGCCTCATTTCTGTGGGTTCATCATGGTTGCCGGTAATTAGCATCTGGACTGCTGCCCCTGAGGGAAAAAAAACAAACAAACAATTTGTTGTATGTGTTCTTCAGACTTATTTGCCTTTCTATACATATTTTCATATTCTACACTGCGCTCACTATGCTCCTACCATTCCCTGTCCTCTCTTTATTTCTTAAATTCTTAAACATAGTGGAGCACTTCAGGTTGTGCCTCCTAGTTAGGTTAATATCTGAATCTCTGTTCAATAGGGCAATTTTTGCAACCTTTGGGGGGCTGGCGTGTTCATGAATCGTGAGGCTGAAGTGCCTAAAACTGCCAATAAGTGTTCAACGTTCCGGGTGATGACGGACGATGTTCTAGTGGCTCCCTGGTTGTTGATGGTGGCATGAATCTGCGATCTGCAGAATTTTCAGTTTGGTTTGAGTGAGGCATATCCAGCTTTGATCTTTTGTGTATATCTTGGCTGCTGTCTTGGCATGGGTTTTTTACGTTGTTACGTTGTTGCCTTGTTGCCTTGTTGCCTTGTTGCTTGCCCTGCTGCATACCCTCCTGCTCACCTGCCTTGTGTACCTTGCTCCCTCATTTGCCATTCACCCACCTTGTTGCATTGTTGCCTTGTTCCCTGCCCTACATCCTTCCCACTCCGCTCATTTGGCCATGTTACCTTGGTTCCTGCGTAACCGTCCCCCTACCTGCACTGTTGCCTTGTTGCTTGCGCTGCCACGGCAGTGCCGCAGGCCGTCCAGCCTGTCTTCCCCTTTGGCTCGCTTGCTTTTCTTGCCTTTATCGCTTGCTGCTTGCCTTGCTGCCTGCCTTCCCACTGCCAAATGCACTGGCACTTGTAGTCTGTTTATCCATTCTGGTCTGTTACAGAAGCGTGATCGAATGACTGCAAATGGTCTTTTAAAGGTTGTATGCTTGCCCCCTTCAGGTTGCATGCCTGGGAATGCCACATTCTGATCTGTGAATACCTTTGTGGCGGACTCCTTGACCTTTTCTTCTGATGACATTTCCTGCCTTTTTCCCTCTTTGTGAAGGGGGTATCCCCTAACTTTATTGTGTTCATCTGATTCCACCAGAATTCCAACTTATATTCTGCTTACTAGCAGCAAGCTACATATGTGAAGTAGTGTGCAATTCAGCCACATGCCATTGGGCTGGGTGTGACATTTCCTACCTCTTTCTGCCTCTCCCCCCCTCCTTTTTGATCAGTCTGTGAATGAATTTGCACCTGCCAGTAGCTTAAATTTGAAAACCAATTCTTTATCAACTGCTGCTATGCTATGTATAGTGGCAAACCTGCCTTATGTTTCTGCTTTTGATTACAACATGACAAGATCAAACGCTATTCGTTGTCCTCGGTCACAGGTGCCACATTCACAAAGATTTGCAGTGGGGGTAAGCGCACCAAGCGATACGTCTGGATCTCGGAGTCGCTGGATTTCATCTACTGGGCCAAATTAAAGGTTAGTCAGTTGTAACTATAATTGCAGAACCTCCAATTGTTTCAGAATTTTTCGTTTTTGTCTTTTGCCCGACAGTTTGTGTAGTTAGCACTTGGCCACTTTTGGCATCATCAATCTTGAATTTAGGGTTTGTTTGACAGTATTTCGTAGCCACGGGATCCCCAGTTGTGTACCCGACCACCCCTCGACAGTGATGTGGTGGCATCAAGGTATGTGCATTGGAGTCCTTCACAGCTGCAAAGCATAGTTGCAGCGCACCAGTCCGCAGTGCGGGACGGGCCAGTGCACAGTGCGGTGCGTCAAGTGTGTGAAAAAAAATAAAAATAAAAATTGTGCCACAGAGAGAGAGAGAGA